CCCCGGGGCCGTGTGCCCTGCGAGAGATGGGTGCGGGGTGTGGGGGGTGTCGCTGTCGCTGCCCCAGAGCTGCCCCCGCCCTTCGGTGGCTGCTGAGAAACCCGCTCCCGGTCTGCTCCGTGCCCCCCGCGCTGGGGCCCGGCAGGTGCGGGGCGGGGGGGGGGGGCCAGGCCTCCTCTGACCTGCCGCTCCTTGTGCCTTCGCTGCAGGGATCTCGTGGAGCGTTCTCAGGAACTACTCCTCTGCCAGCGCCAAGGAGAAGGCGGGGAGAAGTCCTGTCTGTGAGAGGACGGAGCTGCTGGAAGGTGGGTTGGGGAGGGCTGTGAGAGCTGCAGGGGTTTCCCTTGTTCAGTGTCCGGGGAGGTTTTCTAGGAGTCTTCCCGTTCTGTGTAGCCGCAAAGGAGATACTTGGGACCAGAAATACTTGTAGCCTGGGCAAGGACGTGGGGCTTCCCATGGACTTGCTGGCTTCTCTGAGCAAGTTCTGTCCTGTCCCAAGGACCACCCTACCCACAGGGAGCAGTGAGTTGCTGTAAAACGCAGGGTGGTCCTAAGGGGGGGTAGAAGAGTCCATCTGGGGTGTGTGGGCCCTGCAGACTGACCTGGAACACGCTCTGGCTTGGGGCTCTCTGCCTGGGGGCGCTGAGGGCACGAGGTCCTTGGAGAGAGGCCCAGCGAAGTGACCAGACAGCAGGTTGAAGAACTGTCAGCTGCTGCTTTTTCCCTCGCAGTGATGTTGCTGGGTTCCCTGGGCTGCTGGGGCGGCCACAGCATATGGGGGTTCCCAGAAAGACAGTGGTCAAATCAGCTCATCGCTGGGAGGAGGGCTGGCCAAGGCGGGAGGGAGTCCTTGTGTGGACCCTCTTTGCCTGAGCATGTTCCTGGGCGCTTCCAGAGGGGAGGCCCCGGAGTAGGACACAAGGTTTTGTCGTGCCTTGCATCCCTTCACCTCTGCCCCACCGTGTGTCTCCCGACAGTGCTGAAAGCTCGAGTGAAGCAGCTCCAAGCCAGCCATGTCCCAGAGGTGGTCAACAAAGCGGAGCTGGCCCCACTGGGGAATGACAAGTACCAGGATGCACTGCAGAAGGTGGTGTCTCCTGGCCCCGTGGAGGAGCATCCCGCTGCCAGAGGAAGGGATTGGAGCCTGGCCCAGCCCAGCAGCTGGCTTGAGAAGTTGAAGAAGGAGATGTACGTCCGGCAGCTGAAGGTGGAGCGGAAATTGTCCGTCGCTGCCTCCCAGCTGGCTCTGGAGGGCCAGGCCAAGGCCAAACCCAAACCAAAGGGCAAGGCCAAGGTCAACGCTAAAGCCAAGAAGAGCCTGAAGACCCCAAAGGCTACAGTGGCTGCTGCCTGGAGCCAGAGCCATGCTGGCCCCGGCGGTGTGTACGGCCGCAGCAAGCCCAGGGTGGCAGCAGGGAAGGAGGGTGCCAAGGTGCAGAGGCGTCCGAGGGGGCTGGACGAGGACAGCAGCCAGCGCAAGGTGCTGCAGCAGACCATCCAGTCCAACCTCGAGTGCTTCCTGTTCCTGCAGCAGCCGGAGGAGGCCGAGAGGTTCCTTCTGCTGTACCACAGCTCCCCTGCGAAGAGACGGCTTTTGAACGTCAACGCGTACAACATCGTGATGCGCAGCTGGGCGAGGAAGGTACCCAGCGGGCAGCAGTCTGGCGTCAGGTTTTCTGGGTGGCCAAGTGGGGCAGGGGAGGGCTGGCTCGGGGCAAAGAGCCTCCTGCTTGTCGCAGAAGTGGTCATGGTTTTATCTGTGTTTCACAGATACAATCCATCAGAGATTGGAAGGGACCTCAAAGGATCATCTAGTCAGTCCCCCTGCTGGGGCAGGACCACCTAGATCAGATCCTACAGGAACATGTCCAGGCGGGCTTGGAACATCTCCAGAGAAGGAGACTCCACAACCTCTCTGGGCAGCCTGTTCCAGTGTTCTGTCACCCTTACTAGGAAGAAGT